GAGCCAAGAAGAGACCGCGTTGGTGGTCGTGTCGAAGGGGCAAGGATGGCGGAGGGGACGGCGAAGAGGATGGCGGAGGGGGCGGAGGGGGCGCAGGCGGCCGAGCGATTATATAGACGGCGCCGCGAGACAGCGACGCAGCGACGAGGAGGGGGCCGCCTGGCCAAGGCTCGCCCGCAGCCGCGTCCGTGCGTGCGTGTCGGCGCCGCCGAACGCTGCCCATCGAGCGTGACCAAGCTGGTCGCAGGCTGGTCGCAGGCGGGCGCAGGCGGGCGCAGCCAGGAGCAATCGAGTCGCAAGCTCGGCCCATGCTAGCCAAGCTCGGCCCAGGCTCAGCCAGCCGCGCGCGCGCGTGCGCAAAGAGGCATGGCGCGGCACCCGGCCCGAACGAGTCGGGTCAGCCGAAAGCGAGTCGCCAGGCGGGCATCCGGACGGTCGGGCGGAGCCAGAGCGACGAGCCACAACGAGCGGGAGGGTGGTGGTCGAGGAGGAGCAGCAGCAGCAGCAACGCCGTCGGCCCCTCCGATGAATCAGCGTGGTGGGCCTGCCTGCACCTGCACGCTGCACGCGGAGCGGCGCCTCGAATCTGGTGGAGGCTTGGAAGAATTGGATTCGAAAAAAAATGGGCCCCTGCGCGCGGCTGCACCCGCACGCGGCAAGCTCAAGCTCTCTCTTCTCGCTAATCCAACGTGCGCGCGCGTGTAGTGAGGTATATGCGCGTAAATTGCTTTCCAGGCGCGGGCCCAACGCTGTTTCGCGCTCGCCCGCTCCCGCACGCACATCTAGCACGCACACGCAGGCCCATCGCAGACAGACCCACACCGCACTGGAGCGTAATTGCGTGAAAGAGAGTCCGACGAGCGTCACCGACGGTGTGAGTGAATGTGTGCAGGCGATTCGGGCGGGCCGCCGTCAGCCGCGTCAGCCCAGCCTTCATTTTTCTAATGTTCGATTTTATTTTGGACAGCCCAGGCGCTTTTTTGTCAATCCAATTGTTAAGACCATCAAATCGGGTGATTTTCATGACATCGGCCGATGCCAGGCTGGATCTGTACGACCACGCTATCAGGCGCCTGACGTGCATCATAGCGACGTGACACGAACAAGGTGCTCACATCGTCGTTCGAATACACATCGGCGGGCTGCACAATCTCACGTTACGGTCTTCGTCACTGGAGTAATCGCACACACTTTGCATCGGATTGTGTAAAACTTGATTGAAGTCGCGAGAGCATAGCTAGGACGAGTTGTCAAGCAGCCTCGCACAAGAGGGAGGAGGTTCTCGATCGACACGAGACCGGTACTGCTAGTTGAAGTTCTTGAAATGATCGGCGAACCAGCCATCTGGGTGCACTACCGAGTCATAGCACAAGGTGCATCCTTCGCCTATGTCCTTAGTGGCTTCGTGGTAAAACTTTTCGAAAAGGCGTAAAACCTGCTCAAGAGTGTTGCCGGCGCCCAGATCTGGTAGTGGATGCCGAAGTCGTGATCGGCTTGGCGAACGGAGTTAAGCATCTTGATTCTCTCGTCAGTGTCGAAGCTGTGAGGATCCTGAAGCATCTCCTCGTGATCGTCGAGGGACATCTCGGCAAGGGACTGCGCGACCTGCTGCTGAACGGCCGACAGATCGGCTGGCTGAGCGGGCGATGAGGCGGGCGATGAGCCGGCTTCGTCTATGTGCACCGAGATGGGATCAGTATGGCCAGCATTGCCACATCGCTGCTGCGTTGAGGAGCCGGACTTACCATCAAAGACTTCGTACCATCCCCTTGACGGAGACCACGCAAACATAACCCCAGGCATCGTGAGGATGGTGAGTGGAGAAGATCGGTTGAGCGATGGAAGCAGAGTCGAAGAGAAGTGTGGAAGGAGGAAAGCGAGATGGAGGTGGAGCGGAGGAACGATCTGGAGGAAAGCAAGCGGACATATGTAGCTGCGGAAAGCGACTGCGCAAAGCTTGTGCGGAAAGTGGCTGAGCACAGCAGCTGCGGGACACAGTCGCGGACACGGTGCGCGATTAAGGTTTGAGCAATGAGATTGATCGCGGTAAAGTCACATGCACATCTCTGGAAGCTGTGATTAGAGCTAGACATCTTGCCAGTCGAGCGACTGCAGAGAGCAGAGAAAAGGGTCAGCGTCGGAAGCGGGTCGGAGTGGTCACAGCTGCGCAGACGCAGACTTACACCGATGATGGCCGTCTTGGACGGTAGCCTGCCTGCGCTCGGCGAGAGGACGGTGATCTTCTTGCGCACCGTGTCGATATCCGCACTAGATCAGAAACAAAGGGATCGGTCAGCGTTTGCGTTGCGTTCTCTTTTGAGCAGGGCCAGAAGGAGAAGCGACTCACACATGGACAAAGCCGAGGATGGGCGCGCCGATGATTTCGTCGTCGGTCGGATTCGTAGACGAGTCTGGCTGGCCTGCGCCTCCTCCTCCACGCGGCGGCTGGATCAGAGCGAGCACGCTGTGCAGAAGGCTCGTCTGGTCGGCAGCGGAGTTGGTCGGGTCGAGCTTCACCAGCTGCGTCTCTGTCACCGTCCTCGATGCGCCAATGGGCAGTGCCGACGAAGGCGCAAGCGACTCCTGGCCGATCTTGTAGATCTCGAGCAGATCGAAGGGGATCGTCGTGCTGTACGGACTGAGCGATGGCACTCCGCCGAGCGGATCCGCATGTCCAGGCAGCACCACCTTGGGCACGCCGCCCTCCTGACCCGCTCCCTTGTGCGCCGATCCGCCGTAAAAGTACGTCTTGACCTGGAGCGCCTCGAGACGCGAACGGTAGGTCTCGTCGAGCTCCACCACGCCGCCGCTCTTGGGCAGCTTGATCACGCTCACCCTCGGCAGCCTCTGTCCGCCCGAGCCTGGGATCTCGGCGGTGTCTGCAGCCGTACCGAACATCTTGGTCATCTCGAGGTTGAGCTTCTCGTGGCCGAGCACGACGAGCGTGTCCACCTTGAACGCCTTGATGCAGTGCTGGATAAAGGCGTACTTGGTTCGTGCGTCGGCGGTGATGACGCCGGGCGTGTCGATGAGCAGACCCGACATGCGCGAGCGAAAGTCGCGCGCCAGCCGACGCTCCACACCCTCGGCGAGCCAGTCGACGACGCGGCGAAAGTGGCGCTCGTTCTCGCGCACGTTCTCCTTGCCCAGCCACAGCGACAGCGGAGCGACGCCGTGTGCGGTGGATGTGCCCGGAGGAATGGCCCCAGTCGTTGCCGTATTTGTACCGAACGGAAAAGCGGGCGAAGGGGATGGAAGCGATGCCAGCGGCAGCGGCGAGAGTGGCAGCGCCGACAGACAGCACGGAAGTGGCGGTGCGCCGTCGCTTGGGTCGAGGTTGACCACGACCGGCCACCATCCGGTGATATCGCTGCGCTTCTCTTCCTCTCGCTTGGCCTTCCTGGCCTCCTCCGAAAGGTGACTCTCCATGTCGGGATAGATGATGCCGTCTCCGCCCTGACGAAGGCTCTCGGCGACCTTGCCCGCCTCGCCCTTGCCCAGGCTCGCCACGGCTGGCGAGCGCAAGGCATAGTTGGCGAGGAACTTGATCAGGCTCGTCTTTCCCGCCGACTCTGGGCCCAGCACCATGACTCTTGGACCCTGTCCCTCGGGTCGGTAGACGGTGGTGGCAGCGGTTCCTGTTGGGTCGGACTCGGTATCTGTGCTCTGATCGGTGGTGCGCGGTGCGACGTAGCTCGGATCCAAGACGGAGCCGGCGAGGGTGGTCAAGAGCTTTGCGTCCGCACGCAGCGCTTGTCGCGCCTGGATTCGCCTTCGCTCGAGGTAGAGATGCAGATTGGAGTAGGCGGTGTAAACGGGCGACGGTTCGTCGGCGAGGTACTCTGTGGACGCCGTTCCGGCGATCTCGAGTTCGGCGCCTTTCCACGAGGAGACTGCAGCTTTGGCCTCGTCTCCGAACGGGTACCATCGTTCTTGACTGCCACCGACGAGCTCGGCACCAAAGATCTCGGCGTCGGGCTCTTGTCCGCTCGGCGTGCGGTTCTGGACGAGGCGGATCGAGATGCGTTCGTGCGGCTCGAGCTCGAAGCGGAACTCGGAGCGGGGCGGCAGGTGCACGCGCCGATACTGCGACGATCCCTCAGCTTGGCCGTCCATGCTGGCGAATGCTTCAGCTGAAGGTGTGAGAACGGACGTGGTCTCGGGTGAAGGCACGATGCTCTGGACCCTGCGAACGCGTCCAGGACGAGGTCCACTTTTGGGGCATTCTGACCGATTTCCGCACATTCGAAGCCGATGCGAATTTCAGATACGCCGATACTCCCGATTTGCTGACCTTGCTTCTCGTGGCCAAGACGGCAGCTCCCGCATTCCGCATTCCGCTCTTCGGAAGCCAAATCCGTTCGCAACTGCTCGTGTCTGATCTGCCTTGCGGTCTGAAGGGACATGCGTGTGCAGGCCTCGCAGAAATCAAAGTTGATCAGTCAAACCCACAGGACCCGTCTGGTCCGAGATCTTCGAGCTTGATTCCACGGACGCACGCTGCGCATGAAGGGATTGTCGGCAGATCTGTCCGGCTCGCAAGCTTGAGCGTCGAGCACGCCTTCAGGCACTGAGCTGCAGTGCAGCAATTCGCGTCCTCCCGAAAATTAGCCGTCGGAGAAAGCTGTCCGCAGCGCGCTTCCCACACTTTCCTGCTGCAACGCACACGAGCCAGGTCACGGCGGTTTGCCTTGCACGCAAAAGGATGTGACAGAGCCGGTGCTGCAGCTTTTGGCCTCCAACAGCAGCAAAGACGATGTGCAGAAGAGATTGACGAGCGGATCCCAACATAGCAAGACGAGGGACTGTATGACGTGCGCCCAGAACGCGAGAAAAAGCCACTGTCGACCCCAGCCAACGATGCCCATCCGAGCCGACGAGCTTGCAGACTTGCTAGCGAGAGTCAGGCTTGCTTGGCACTGACGACGCTCCACCGCCAGAGCCATGGCGGATCCCTGATGCCGCAAGCGAGCGCGTTGGAGCCAGAACAGGCTCTAGCGCCGGGTAAAGCGGAAGGCTGTCAGCAGACGGCTCGAGCTGGCAACGCCGTCTAGGGCCGCAGCCAATGCCGCAACCTTTGCAGCCCAGAACAGTCACCAGCCTGGAAGCGGGCAGAAGCAGGAGAATAGGCAAGACGATTGTGAGCAGCGGAAGCGAAGGCACGCAGGTGCATAAACTGCCACGTTTGCACATCGGAGGTTTAGGATCTATTCGGCCACAACCGCATCTGCATCTGACCGCCCAGACGACTTTTCCTCTCGGGCCTATCGGCACTTTGCATGTCAGTGCGGGGGAAGACACCTGGGAGGCGGCGGGTGTTGAGCACGAGCCACGCATGGCCGCTGCTAGGCGCACCTCGGCACCACAGCGGCACACTGCCGGGGAATCAATCCGGCTGAGACTCAACGTCACGTCCAAGCGGATGCCGAGCGGTCGTAGCACCCAAGGTCTGGATCGACCGGCTACTGCTGCTGCAGTGTCTCGACGGTCAGATCTAACTTGACGGCAAAAGCGAGCGAGCGAGCGAGACCAGGCGCATGACGAGCATGCAGAGAAGACGAGATTTTCCCCGCTCAGGCCACCGCCGTCCGGTGAATCGCCGTGCCCAAAAAAACACCAAAATCCAAGTGCATACGCGAGCAGCGCCGAGTGACCGCGCCCGGCTCTGTGGAGGCACCGAGGTGAGCGATGCTCGAGTCACCGCCACGAAGAAACAAGGTCAGAATGAAATGGCCAATGCAGACCGAACAGTGTCGGTCGGTCCGAAGCAAACAGTCGAGAGTGAAGGCTTCAGCACGCCACTCTTCGCTGCAGCGTGAGCCCACCACGGACGCATCGGAGGGGAAGGCCGATGGGGCCGAGACAGCAGAGCTGCAGCCCAGAGAGCGAAAGAGAGAGAAGTGAGAGCGAGAGAGGCAGAGTGGAGCAGTGAGTGACTGGCTCGTGGGCCACAGCTGCAGCGGCTTGGACTTGGCATTTCGCTCCTCTGCCGCTCCAGAGCCGACGTGCGCCCTGACGCTACGCTCTCTCTTCGCAATGTGGAGTTGAGCTCGCTCACCGCATAGTGCGCCTCGCTTCGATCGCTCCCGTGCTGGCGAGCTGGACTTGTGCTCGTGCGGCCGCTGCCGCCGACGCCGCCTTCTCCGCCCGAGCACGCACCGTCGACGACCCATCGTCGAAGGCCGTCTGAGCCAGCTGACCGGCCATCCAGCGCCACTTCAACTGCCTCCCCCGCAAGCCGCCTCCCTCTCCGATCCGACCGTCCTAGCGCCCGGACTATATAGGCCCGGACTTTCCCCTTCTTACCTCGCTCCTAGTCCTCCTGCGTATATCCTTCGTCTACGTCTCAACGACAACGAAGCCCACCAGCAGATTTCGGATCAGCACTCCAAACCGACCCCATAGACAGGCGACCGTCCGTCCCGCTCCCCGACAGACCGTTCGCTCGACTCGACAGCATCAATACGCCAAGAAGCGGCATCAGCGTTTGACTCGCCCCACCGACACATCGCCCAACATGGCCGAGGCTGAAGTGCCCGAGGTGCAGAGCTACGACGTGCCTTCCCGCCTCCTGGGAAAGGACGGACGTCCCGCTCCTCACGTCACCGCTGAAAAGTACCAGACCGACTACCCGCAGTCGATCGACAACACCGACGAGTTCTTTGGCAAGGTGAGTCAACAGTCCATTCCCACGCAGCTTTCGGATCGGCGCTTCCGGACGTATCACGCTCCGCCGTGTAGTCACGGCGCGTTGAATCGCGGAGCAAGCTGAGCAGATGTCTGGCACTTCCGATCAGCGAGATTTGCAGCGGCGGCACATCCGAGCCGTGCGTGATTGCCAAAGACCCGGAGACTGACTCAGACTTGCCCTCCCCCCCTTTGAATCACACAGATCGCCAAGGAGATCATCGACTGGGACGTTCCCTTCAAGACGGTCCGATCCGGCGGCTTTGAGAATGGCGACGTCGCCTGGTTCAACGAGGGCCGCCTCAACGCCACGTACAACTGCGTCGACCGATGGGCGCACAAGTACCCCGACCGCGTCGCCATCATCTACGAGGCCGACGAGCCCGGCCAGGCGCAGGAGATCACCTACTCGCAGCTGCTCGTCCAGGTCTCGCAGGCCGCCAACATGCTCAAGACGCTCGGCGTGAGGAAGGGCGACACGGTCATCGTCTACCTCCCCATGATTCCCGAGGCGGCCGTCGCCTTGCTCGCGTGCGCGCGCATTGGTGCCATCCACTCGGTCGTCTTTGCCGGCTTCTCGGCGGACTCGCTGCGCGACCGCACCAACGACTGCGGTGCGCGCGTCGTCATCACCACCGACGAGGGCAAGCGCGGTGGGCGCAACATCGCCACCAAGAGCATCGTCGATGCGGCGCTCAAGGAGTGCCCCAAGGTCGAGCACGTCGTCGTCGTCAAGCGCACCGGCGGCCAGGTCAGCTTTGACGACAAGCGCGACATCTGGTGGCACGAGGCGTGCTCGCGCGAGCGCGCCTACTGCCCGCCCGAGTCGATGAGCTCCGAGGACCCGCTCTTCATCCTCTACACCTCGGGCTCCACCGGCAAGCCCAAGGGTGTGGTGCACGCCACCGCAGGCTACCTCCTCGGCACCGCGCTCACGCTGCGACACGTCTTTGACGTGCACCCGGACAAGGGCGACCGCTTCGCCTGCATGGCCGACGTCGGCTGGATCACCGGCCACTCGTACATCGTCTACGGTCCGCTGATGAACGGCGTGACGACGCTCATCTTCGAGTCGACGCCCGTGTACCCGTCACCGTCGCGCTACTGGGAGATTGTGGACCAGCACAAGCTCACGCAGTTCTACACGGCGCCCACCTCGATCCGCCTGCTGCGCCGCCTGGGCGACGAGCACGTCAAGAAGCACGACCTGTCGTCGCTGCGCGTCATCGGCTCGGTGGGTGAGCCCATCAACCCCGAGGCCTGGCACTGGTACAACGACAACGTCGGCCGCCAGCAGTGCGCCATTGTCGACACGTACTGGATGACCGAGTCGGGCTCCATCATGATCACGCCGCTGCCCGGTGCGACCAAGACCAAGCCGGGCTCGGCGACGTTCCCCTTCTGGGGCATCAAGCCCGTGCTGCTCGACCCCACGTCGGGCGACGTGCTCGAGGGCAACAATGTCGAGGGTGTGCTGGCGATCGGCCAACCGTGGCCTTCGGTGGCGCGCACCGTGTACGGCGACCACCAGCGATTCCTGGACACGTACATGCGCGCCTACAAGGGCTACTTCTTCACCGGCGACGGTGCTGCGCGCGACAAGGACGGCTACATCTGGATCAAGGGTCGTGTGGACGACGTGATCAACGTGTCGGGCCACCGTCTGTCGACGGCCGAGATCGAGTCGGCGCTGATCCAGCACCCCGGTGTGGCCGAGACGGCCGTGGTGGGAATCCCGGACGAGGTGACGGGCCAGACGATCGCCGCCTACGTCACGCTCAAGCCCGAGTTCAGCTACGACTCGGAGGATGCGCTGACCAAGGAGCTCGTCATCCAGGTGCGCAGGAACATCGGCCCCTTTGCGGCGCCCAAGAAGATCATCATCGTCTCGGACCTGCCCAAGACGAGGTCGGGCAAGATCATGCGTCGTCTGCTCAGGAAGTGCGCCTCGCACGAGACCGACAGCCTCGGCGACCTGTCGTCCTTGGCTGACCCTTCGGTCATCGACCACATCAAGGAGAAGACCGAAGCGTTTGACAAGAAGTAGACGGTGGCCCCCCTCCGCGGCGTCGCTTGTCTGCTCTCGGACTTGGCTGTGTCCTGGGTGCCCCTTGGCCCCGAGTTATCGATGCTCTGCTTTGCTGTACTGTGCCAATTGTACACGTTTTGAATTATGCATGCTCATGCCGATGATCATGCTCGGAGGTTGAAGAGTGGCTTGCTGATGGAGCGACCGAGGGACAATGCACAGATTGCCGGCGGGCGAATCACGGCACCCGCATGAAGTTGCGCCTTGAACTCACCTCCAACGGGTCTTGGAAGGGTCCGCGGCGACGAGTTCGTGCGCACGGGGCAACTCCAGTTTGTCCAACCTCCGCGACTGCCGCGGACTCGTTCGAGTGCGCACTGAGCGCTGTTCGGGAATACAGAAGTTTCGAGTTTGGGCCGCACCTCCGCCTAAAGGAAGCGCGGAACGAGGTAAGCTTGCTTTGGGACCTACGACCACATCAACTTTGTCGCTGGGTCATGTCGCATCGACTCGGCCTATTCACCCGCCATCTCTCTTCACTCTCGCTCAGCAACGCCACACGATCCAACGTCTGCCTTCGCGCCATGTCGACCGTTCGCGCGCTCCAGATCGAGCAGCAGGGTGGGCCCGAGGTAGTGCAGGTGGTTCCCGTCCCTGCACCCACGCTGTCCGGCTCGGGCAAGGTGGTGGTTCGCAACGAGTACGCCGGCGTCAACATGATCGACACCTACCACTTTGGCGGCCTGTACAAACTGCAGACGCCCATCGTCATCGGCCAGGAAGCGGCGGGTGTGGTCGAGGCGGTGGATCCGGACGTCACCTCGCTGCGGGTGGGCGATCGCGTGGTGCAGTACGGCGGAGGCTCGTACATCGAGAAGCAGCTGCTGGATGCCGAGCGCGTGATTAAGCTTCCCGACTCCATCGACACGCGCACTGCTGCCGCCTGCTATTTGCAGGGTCTGACGGCACTTACGCTGCTCACCGAATCGGCCCCCGTCAAGCAGGGCGACTGGATCCTCGTCACTGCCGCCGCGGGCGGCGTTGGCCTCCTCCTCTGCCAGATGGGCAAGGCATTCGGCGCCAACGTGATTGCCGTCACCTCGACCGAGGCCAAGTGCCAGCTGGCCAAAGCTCACGGTGCCGACCACGCATTGCTGTACAACAAGGAGAACCCCGAGGCCTACATCTCGGCCGTCCGTGACATCACATCCGGCCACGGCGTAGATGCCATCCTCGACGGTGTTGGCGCCGACACGTGGGAAGCCAACTTTGAGATCGCCGCGCGCAAAGGAACCATCGCTACGTTTGGCAATGCTTCGGGTCCTGTACCCGCATTCGAGCCGCTCAAGCTCTCGCCCAAGAACCTCAAGGTCTGTCGTCCGACGCTGTTCAACTACGTCGCCACGCGCGAGGAGCGCGAGCGCTACTCGGCGCAACTCTTCGAGCTGGTCCAGTCGGGCAAAGTCAAGATCAACATCCACGACGAGTACGCCTTTACCACCGACGGTCTGCGCCAGGCCTTCGCCGACATCAAGAGCCGCAAGACCACGGGCAAACTCGTCGTCAAAATCTAGTCCCCCCCCCCCCCCCCCCCCCCCC